TTTTAAAGCTTTAAAAATCTCAGCAACTCACCTGGTTCTGATCAGGTAAGTTCTTTTCTTCCTGAGAGCTGTTCTTTTTCTGACCAACATTCCAGCTGTTTTCCAGAGTTGGTATCTGATGGTCAGTAGGTATTTGAACATCACCTGCTGGCTGCACAGGGGGAGATCGATGGATATTATTCCCTTCCGTGCTTGAAGCCCAGTTTCTTCCTAATGGGAAGGGTTGAGGTTGCTGCATCTGCTGTGACGTATTTGGCAAATTGGCAAATCCAACTATCTGCATGAGGCTCAGATAGTTAATCTGCTGTAGCTAGAATATAAGAAATTAATACATTTACTAAAAATGTGTCTTAGCTAAAATCTATTACCGAAAATATTTACAACTATGCAGTTAACATATTAAAACAGGTAAAAGCCAAAATATTATCCTTCTTCAATAATCACATTGTTATGACCCTTGCATCAAATTTCAGGAAATGTGACCAGTAATTTAAGAATAGGAGATAATTTTAAGGGCACTAAATTTAGGAGACAGATAAATACCAAATATTTTATTCCATAGCCACGTTAGGCATAGTTTTAGCTTATATTTGAAGTATGGGTAGCATGTTTGTGGAATTTTCATTGTGTTTCACTCATCTGTAAAAACATTTCCACTATTCAGAAGTCAATTACTTGTGTCAAACTTCCAGTTGTACATCTAATGCACAGAAGGGTAAATAGGATTGTTCCAAATAGGCTTACTTGCAACTATACCTCTAATTTCTATGAAGTCAGCAGATTATTTGAAGAATAAAGAAACTCTGGCTTCAAACTCAACTAACAGAAATGTGCTATTCTTGGAAGCATTACTGAATCCGTCTGTCATTATCTTCTGGGATGTTTCATCAACCATTGTCTTCCCAGTTTTGCCATCAGCTAAAATACCCAAACAAGTACCAACCAAGCTTGATCCTGCCTAGTTTTTAAGGTGGGCCATGGTTGGCTGATGCTGCCAATTTCTGAGACATAATACAGGAGTAGAGCTGTATTGGGCAAAATATTTAATACAATACAATACAATAGCAGAGTTGGAAGGGACCTTGTAGGTCTTCTAGTCCAACCCCCTGCCTAGGCAGGAAACCCTATACCGTTTCAGACAAATGGCTATCCAACATAAAGACTTCCAGTGTTGGGGCATTCACAACTTCTGGAGGCAATTGGTTATTTCAAACTTACTGGAAGCATTCTGAATTCAAAGTAAACTTTTCTGGACTTGAAAAATTTCTAATAAGGTGGGAATGACCCTGGAACATTTTTGGTGAGAGTTTAAAAGTCCAGTTCAAGCTCAAAATATTTCAAGCTCAAAATATTTCCTTCTTCTGCAAAGAAATGTCTTTTTCTAGACATTCAGAAGAAAATTCAGAAATGTTTCTGAATTTTACAGAAACATTAGTTCTGGAATCCTTTGGTCTCCTAGGTTCGCCATCCGGCCTTATACAATGCATCTAATTGTCTTATTTTAAGGAGGAAAAAAATGATAATTCTGTTTTTATTTATGAGGATTTAATTTTTTTAAAAATACACCATCTTAAGAATTCTCAGTTCTTCAAATTAAAATTGAAACGTTTTCTTTGACCAAAGCAAATTACTGATCATACCATATCTTTAGCAACATC